AGTACTAAAACAAGCACAACTATTGCTGTTTGCGCTGTCAAAAAGCACGAATCTACACACAAATCTTCTTGTCCAATCCGCAAGAAAACGCTAAAAAGATGCAAATACGATAGCGTACAGAGCGTGCACTGTATGATGTATGAGATCATCGTATTTGAAAATTTCCGTTTTCGTCCGTCCACTCAAAAAAGAAAGTTTTCAAAATACCGTATTTATTCGATTAACCGCCCTGGGCGCTTATTAAATTTTTGGACCTTGAGAGTGGGCGCTTATTGAGACTGGGCGCTTATTAACTTTTCACCATTTTCAGAAAGTGTAGTATGTTTATTTTGAAACAAAACAATAAATGCTATAACAAAACGCGAAGAAGTAACAAAGCAAGGTTTCTGTAAAATACTCCGAAGAAAACTGCGTCCTCGTGGAAGTCTCTTATTGCTACTTATTCAATTCCAATTTTAATCTCATTGTCACTCACATGGGTGTGGTGGGGGTGGGCGCTTATTTGAGTTTGATTGGGAGGAGGAGGGGGTGAGTGTGGGGTGGGCGCTTATTCGAGGCTGGGCACTTATTAACTTTTTCTAATAATAAAATATTTATCTAGCGCTTATACTTTTCAGTGCTAAGCGCTTTACAACGTTTAATGATAACGTTTACAAATATTGGGGTATTTCCAGTCTAATTAGAGCAACTATACTTTCTAACAGGTGATAAAAGCACGGATATTCCTGGTGCATTCTTTTCCCTTTCCCTGTCGGTCTCAGACCCCTCTTGATCATTTTCGTAAAGTATTAAAACTAAGGTAGTCTATGGAAAGAATGCTGCCCCAGTTTCTCGTTCAAAACGCGGAAAAACACCGGGCAACTAAAAAAAAAAAAAGAAAAAGTACAATAGACTCTATTCAAAAATTTTTGAAACTAGGGGCCCATCTATTTGGAATAAATTACCCGAGGATTTGCGTGAATACAAGTCAATGAACAGATGAACTTAATTAAATCTAAACTAGACCGCTTGTTTCCCAGCTTCTTTGATTCCTTACTATAATCCTAGTTTAGAATATTTTGTCAAAGGTTAATACCTAGTTTTACATATATATGTTTTCTCTTTCACAACTAATATTAACTAGAAACTCTGATAGATATATACATTTTTTAACACGGCTTTTATGTAAACCAGCTTTAGCTGATAAAACTACCGTGATATACCGGCCATAATTTTAAGGGGCAAACAACAGATAAAATTTGCTAATACGAGTAATCGCAGTCGAGTTTCGGGTTTAGTTTCTCAAAAAGGAGACGATGATTTTAGTCTTGCAAAATGTACAGTTTCACTTTCCACAAGTTTTACTTCATTATTGCTTGCTGTGAGGACATCTACGGTTGGAATTGCATCCAAAAAAGTAGCAATGATCACTTCCACCCATAATTTACCATTATCGTCTTTAAGAAAGATGTTCTTCGTTTCCTGTTGTTTAGAATGGACAAACTCGACCGCGGTTTTTTGTATTAACAGCTTCTTTCACTTGTTTACCCCCCTGAGAAACCACGAGACAGCTATTTATCCCAACAATCCTAACGCAGTAAGTACAAAGATGGCGGCAATTGGAATAAGGTCTATTGTTGAAAAATGAATGAGTGAATTTACTTCACTGATCATACTTTCTCAATTTCTCAGTTGCATGTCGAGTTTGTCTGCTTAACTTGAGGTATCTGCATGGTAAGGTAAAATGTTTTGCAAAAATACTGAAAATTGCCAAAAATAAATGTAAATCACGTCCAGTTGAACGAACAATGGAGCAGAATGTCCCGGGGGGTACTCCCTTATATGAGCTATATAGGTATGTGCCGCCCCATCAGGTAGGGTTTTTGTGCCCTTTTGGTCTGAAAACGGGTGTACATTTTGCCCGAATCTGGTATGGTTTTCGAGGGAACTACGGGATTGTATGAACGTATTTATCGTTTCAATTCCAAATGAGTAAGAAAGAGAGAAAATATGTGAATTCGAAATGGATTTGAAGAATTTTTTTGTTTGCGCTCTAATCTAAGTAATGACAACATAATTTCTGCCTAAGGGCCAGGTCTGAAATCAGGTATGGATTTTAGAGGTCTGGTCTGAAAATTACAATTTTTAGTCTGAAATAGGGTCAGGATTTGAAGAACCGAGCGGCACACCCCCCCAAGAATTCCCAGGAGTACCCCCCCGGGGGTACAATGTGCTCTATACTCTATAGTCTGAGATGGTAATAGCTCGCACAGGTCGTTTTTTCAAATAAAACTTATATCAAAGGTAGACATATATTGTAGACGAGGCGGAATTAAAATAATTGATAAAAGAAAAAATAGCTATTTACAGATTCTTCCATGGAATTAATCAACTTTTGATAAATGACAACAAGCGAATATCTAGAAAACGGTTTCCTTTTCCTGAAAAACTATAAACATACTGTCTAAGTCTTAAGTATAGCAATAAAATTAATAGTTTTATAAATAGTTATTTAACTGACGTTCAATCAAGAATCCGTAAACTTAAGCGTAGCGGAAACTCGTGACACCGTTGCAGAAACACAGCGGCAAATTCGGTTAAGCAACTCTATCGTCGACGTCATTATCTACGTCATTTTTTCCTTTGCCACATGCCAGTAAACGAAGCCAATGTCCTCTGTCGAGTAACCAGCTAAAGCGGATGTTTGGTTATGATCTTTTCAATTGCTGCATTCAGATCCTTTCCTCAGCGGCTACAAGACAAAAAGACAAACGGCATGTTTACCTTTTAATGCTCAACGTCTCTGGCCATCGATGGTTTAAATTTAAACACTCCCAGTACCCCAATATAAGGTGACGTTTCACGTCCTGTATCCTGAGGTACCGGCAAATTTTAAATTTTGGCCCGTAATTAAAACAATGGAAAACAACGACAAAGGAACTTTTAACCAGGGTGAAAGAGTCGATTTCACGAAGATTTTCAAACTAAGATAGCTTATGATAAATCCTAAATTTTTAACAGCTTCAGATCACAAAACTAATATATCTTACCCAAAAATAGTAATTTCAAAACTAAACAAGACGATATTCGACAATACATTTTTTACTGACCATATGAATGCCAAACATTGTGAAAGGCGATGTTTACGTTCATTAAAAAACTAAGAATGACCTTTCAAACGGGGGTAACTTGAGATCTGGGTAGTGCTTCTGATTGGTTGTACCGCGTGGAAAATTTGATTTTGATCATTTTAATGTTAAAATGCGCTATATTAAGTGAATTATTATTTAACAGATCAGAAGCACTACCCAGACCCAGATCCGGCTAGTGACGAGTCATCAGTATGGAATTTCTGCTCTCGTTCCTCAGACGTCATTTGGCGGGGAAACCAGTGGTAGCGTCGCCCTGAATGTCGGCTGTTTTCTCAGGCTAAAACGTCTTTCAAAATATAGCTTACGGAACTGATATGTAAAGTCCCGGAGGGTTTTCAACGAAAATTTATACAGGGAGGCTCCGCCCAAAGGTACAGCCCCTGACCCTTTTATATGTCTTAAATACCATATTTTATACCTTGACAAATGGTCCCCCTTTCACATACCTAGTTTAGAACTTTGCATCCATTTAAACTGCTGTAAATGAACTGTCTTTAAAAATATGAATATATCCCGCATAATCAGAAGGTGTTCCCTTTTTTGACAGCCATAAATTACATCTGTTAGCCATTTTGGGCCTTTTTACAGACCGAAATAACAGATTTCCCAACCCTTTCATATACTTCAACCAGTGAAATCCCTAAATTCGTTCATGCTCATGTACCTGAATCCTAAAACCGGTATTCCCTCCTGGCGGAGCCTCCTTGTAAAAGGCCAATATGGGGAGTGAGTTCCTCCCCGGGACTTGACTATGGTACATGTAACAGCCGTCAAAAACGAAATTCAAAGGAGCTCAATAAAACGCCTTAAACCTGGCCGGAATTAATGAGCCTGTTTTGCTACACGAAACAAAAGAAACGAATAATTCACTGTCAAGGTAAAATCTGGACAAGCAAGCTTGATTAGATTCCATAAACGGATTGATTAGTCATTACTGCTGCCAGTGTAATGAGGAGTAAAAATTGCACATTTCCGTTCCCAGAGCACTTGTTACAAATAAAGCCGAGCGGCACTGGCGTGAGAATGCACACAAAGCACGACAAATTTCAAGAAGATTTTATCCAAACAAAAGAATGATCTGATTCTGAGTAGTTTCAGTTTGAAATTAACCACACACTATGCATACTGCAATGGAAAGACTAAAGGTAATCGATTCAATAATAGAATATGTGTTGGTACCCTTTATCAAGTTTGAGTATAGTGCTTAACGACGATGATCTATATTGGTAAATTATAAAAAAAAAAACAACCTGTTTGTTAAGTAATGATTTACAAAGGTAATGCGAATTAACTCCAGTCGCCGTTTCAAAAATGCTTACCAAGTTTATGAGCACAACATCCTCGAAGACCCGGGGGCAGATATTGGGGGCGAGGGAAAGTCTAAACGGGCGGAAAAATAAGGCACAAAAGAAAAGTAAAGAACGGCGTGAAGAGCCCCTGGGGACAATGTCTTACCAGACCAGTTCCAAACGTTCGCCGCCGTTCTGCCTTCTGATTGGTGCCAGAAAACTTGTGTTTTTCTGGCACCAATCAGAAGCCAGAACGGCGGCGACCGTTTGGAAATGGTCTGGTAAGACATTGTCCCCAGGGGCTCTTCACGCCGTTCTTTACTTTTCTTCGTGCCTTATCTTTCCGCCCGTTTAGACTTTCCTTCGCCCCCACTATCTGCCCCTGGGTCTCCGAGGATGTGAGCACAAAAACAAACTAAAAAAAAACCCTTTATGATAGAAATGCCAAACATAAGCCTTCTATTTTGTTAACGTAATTTTTTACGGAGTACATAGTGGGTGGAAAAATATTGTACAAAACGATGTTCGTGTAGCATAAGAGTATTTTAAAAAACAGAGTGACCTTTACCTTTTGGGAAATTTATTCGTATCCTGACAATTCTAATGTGACGTCATCACCAATGAGCACAAACGGTGCCCAGTACTTGACTACACCAAATTCCTCAGATTCTCTCATGCAGTTCATTGTTTGGTTTAAGGCTTCACTGGCACTTTTTCCTTTCACAAGAAGTTGATAGAAATTTTTCATAAACTCAAGAGTGGCCTTGTCGTCAATCGCCCATAACGACACCAGAACAGAACGAGCACCAGCACCTAAAAATGCTCGTGCTATGCCAACTACACCTTCTGCTTTGATCTCTCCTTGAGCACTATGACAACAGCTGAGTACAACCAGTCTCGCTCGCATTTTGACACGCAGTACATCTCTCATTGTCAAAATGAAATCCATCTTAGCATCATCTGGCGCCAAGGCAATTTCGCCTGTTTCCATGCTGCCATGTGCAGCGATGTGAACCAAAGCAACCGAACCGAGTCGTCTTAATACCGCATCCTTTGTGGCTTGTCTTCCAATAAGAGGCGTACAGCCAAGCATTTCACCAATCATCTCTACTTCCTCTTTGGCAAATGGCAACTGCTCTAACTCTGCTACTTCTTGCACCCACGGGTCACCAACAAGAAGCACGCCAGACTGACAGTGGTGATTTACCGGACAATCGACAATCATTTTCAAGCTGGTGAGAGATGGAATCAGGCGAATTCTGAATGACTCACAGAGGTGTTTGGAATTTGGACCCTTGAATGCAGCAAAAGGAGCCAAGAAAAGCGGACCTTCCGGGACAAATATCAGTTCACTTCCCACAACTAAGAGATTTTGAATAGGTTCAATGATAATGTCATACAATGTACTCAAAGCATCTTTTTGAAGGTGTATGTGATGGCTTTTCCTACCATCACGAATCGAACTTTTAGCAGCCAGTCTTGCATCACTCACCAATTTGAGCGAGCGATCTTCGCATTCCACGAAATCTCGCGCACCAATTTTCTGACCCATTATGTTTACAAGAGACGCAAAGAAAGCGCTGACTTCATCCTGCGAACTGATTTGCCGTCTTCTTATTTGAACCTCTTTACCTTGCTGACAAACCCAGAAAACTAATTCGCCCTTTCCAAACGCCATAAATATTGTGTTCAGAGGAATGCGACTGGATAGTTCTTGAAACGTACTGTTTTCTGGACCTGATTCAGGATCATTCACTTGCAAACCATAACTGAATGCCATAAGGTCTTTTAGACCTTGTGCCCGTCCTTGCTCTGCAGAAAACAAAGCCTCTGTAACTTTGTTATCGGCCAAAAACAGACGCCAAAGTGCAGCGTATGTTGTCTGGTATTGATCGCGTAAGCTAATTTTCCAGTCGTCGTTCAACTGAAGACGATCTCTGACTTTATTCAACAAGGTGATACTGCGTTGATAGTATCCGATAGCCTGTGAAACTTGGCCTTTATATTCAAAGTCACCACCAAGATTCGAACACGCTATTCCCTCTCCCAAAGTATCTCCCAGTTCTTTTGAAATTTTCAGTTGACTTTCATGGTAGGATATGGCTGTTTCAAGATCTCTGAGTTCGCAATAGGCGTTGCCAAGACCACAATACGCCTTTGCTTCTTCCTCTCTTTCACCCAATTCTTTTGAAATTTTCAGTTGCCTTTTATGATAGTCTATGGCTGTTTTAAAATCTCCCAGAATGCAATGGGTGCAGCCAAGATTGCCATAAGCCGAACCTTCTCCCGATTTTTCACCCAGTTCTTTCACAATTTTTAGGTAATGCGCAAAGTAGGGTATAGCTGTTTCAAACTCTTCCAGTCTTGAATGGGCGCAGCCAAGATTACAATACGCTTTTCCTTCTCCCGATCTGTCACCCACTTCTTTCGCAATTTTCAGGCGACAGTTAAGATAGTTTATGGCTGTTCTAAAATCTCCTAACATTTGATAGTCGACGCCAAGATTGCCATACACCACTCCTTCTTCTGATCGGTAGCCCAAATCTTTCGCGATCTTCAGGTTGCGTTCATGGTAGTCTATAGCTGTTTTAAAATCTCCCAAACAGCGGTGGGCGTTGCCAAGATTGCCAAACGCTCTACCTTCTCCAGATATGTCACCCAGTTCTTTAGAAATTTTCAAGTGACGTTCATGGTAGTCTATGGCTGTTTTAAAATCGCACAGCCTGCGATGAGCGTTGCCTAGATTGCCGTAAGCATTTCCTTCTTGCGTTCTGTCACCCAGTTCTTTTGCAATTTTCAAGTGACGTTCATGGAAGTATACCGCTGTCTTAAAATCTCCCAGGCAAAGATGGGCAATGCCGAGATGGCTATACGCCACTCCTTCTCCCATCTTGTCTCCCAGTTCTTTTGCAATTTTCAGGTGACATTCGTGGTAGTCTATAGCTATCTTGAAATCTCCCAGACTTTGATGGGTGTCGCCAAGACTGCAATACGCCAGTCCTTCTAGGGCTTTTTCATAATCTGGAATATTCTGATAGATGGCCTTCTCTCTTTCTTCTGGCGATCTGTTACAAATATCTTCTTTCAAAATTTCTATTCGCCGTTTAAGGTAGTCTAAGCGTGAACTATCATGAGCTCTTTCAGAGTTGCCATGTGCTTTTCCGTCTCCCAATCTGTCCTCTAAGTTGTCAATTCTATTACGGGTGCTAATGTCGGCGCCAGCTGTGTGTGTCGGTTTCGTGCAAGTTTTCTGAGAAATAATATATGGAATCGTATGTTAAATGACGGTTGCTTGATTTTCAATTTTTAAAAGTTTCTTCCGGGAATAATCATATAATATATATATATACAAAGAAAGGCGGGCCTGAGTGATCAAGGATTTCCCATTCCTCCAAAGTAATAATTTAACTACAAGCAAAAATTATACTTCAGATCTCCTTTCAATGATAATTCTGGCGAAAGTACTTAGGATTTAAGAAAGAGCTCATGCCTTTTTACTTAGTGTAGCGGCATATGACTTGATTTCACTAAAGGGTAGCCCAAGAAAATGCTCCAACATCCTTGTTTACCATGTCTTTTCAAATTATTTTTACTTTTTCCCGCCAAATATTCACTGAGCAGCTGCAAGAGACGGACTTAAATGAGTTTATTGGCTAACTTACCCCCAATTTTCGCCACACCAGTCTATCTTAGAAGTTTTTTGGTGGCCTCGAGTAGGGTTTTTTGCATTTCTTTCTGGCCTCTGTTTAAGATTTGACGTGTCTTATAAGGTGTTTTATGTTCGTATTTTTCTCCTTTCTTTTAGTAATTTAGGTGTATTTTTAATTTTTTTTTGGCCATTGACGAAGCACCTTTCCGGTTATCATACGATAAAAGTGTCTTTCTTTGTAGACCTTGTGCGAGCTATGTAGTCTCCTTTGCTCCCCGCCCCGACGCGGCTGCTTCAAACCGACGTACATTCCTTTCCCAAGATTCAACCAATCATAGCGCAGCTTCATTTTCTTGCGAATTTTCTCGACAGAATGTTCCACCAATCACCCTGCTCCGTTTATTTGACCAGATGGTGATGTCTTTGGCAGATCTCAGCTCTTGTAGCGTGGTACACAGGCTTTAAATTCGCACCAGAAATTAGCAATTGCGGAGTTAGTTGAAAGAAAAAAATGACATTTTAGTTGATTTTGCAAACTGGCTTCGGAAGATCTCTATTTTTTAAGCATTGCTGCAAGTCATCGTATTCTCCAAATAACACCTGGAGCTGGACCTACCCGTCAAAACGAAGCAGGAAATCATTATATCCACGGACAAAAAACCACACGTAATGTAGGTATTCTGTTGAGCGTACGTCATTGCAGTTAAGTTGATATGTTATAGAAAACATTTTCCTAAACCCGTATCCGTTTTAAAACACTGCTATTGTAATTAGTAACAGGTTGACCTTTTTTTGGCCATAAAATGTCCTGACTAAAAAGTACCTCTTCCTGCAATCCTTTGCACAGGAGGTGGGGCGGGGGGGGTCTCTTAGAAAACCCCCCTTAATCCCTCCAACGAAGCGCATAAAGAAGGGAGACCTTGCGTAGTTAAATCCTTACCTCTTCTTCTTGATTATCTTCCATATTCTTCTGATCTCTCTCAGCTCTGTTTCTTAATTCCAACAACCGGTCGTTATTCGGGTCGATCTCAGTATTAGTTAAATTTTTTCAATAATTCACATTAAATATGCTGGCAAACTACAAAGCTACTATACTTTGAAATAAATTGTCATAAGCACTTACTGACACGAAAAGCAAAGACCTACTAATGATCAATTATAAATGTTGATTTGAAAAGGAGTATACCGTACATTCTCTTGCTTGAGCCGGCCTCACACCACAAAGAGAGAACTTCTGTACTCACAGGCAAACGATCAATATTTTTAGACTTGCATGTGGTTCTACATAAGAGACACTTCTAAAGTTTAGGGAAAAAATAATGAAGAATGTTTGTAGGGAAAATAACTTTATCTCTAATTGGAAATTTCAATATTAGCTTTCTCTAGTAAAGGATACTGCTAATCCTTTATCACACCACGTGATGGCTTCGTTAAACTTATTCAACTGAACGCAAGCACTTGCTCCTGCAAAGGAAAAATGTACACCTGAGCTGCAATGAAGGGAAGTGTAACTAAATATATGAATTTCAATATGACTATCGCAGTTGAATGAACAACCTAAGCGGTCCAAAAAACTGAAAAAATTCAGGCTTGACTGGGAATAGAATCCTTTGCGATGACCGGACGCAACGCTACTGTTATTGAGCTAATCAAGCCAACTGAAGAGAAGGCCAGTTTAGATTTCTTGATATACCCAATCGTGGAAATGAAAATGACTTTGAACATATGAAATAATTTACAGCTATTTCGAGAAAGGTTGTCGGAAAAAATGTGCACGCGACAATCCCGAAAGGTAATATGGGATATGTTCTATACACTGTTCCTGACACTGTAGCTGTCGAACCTACTTTTGTTGCTTTCCTTTAGCACTCGCAGACATACGTCCATGGCCTCTCCTGTCATTCTTTCAAATTTCTTTGAAAAACAGTGCACTCAAAGCCACCCACAATACCTTTCGGGGTTTTCGCGTGCACTTTATCCGACAACCTTTCTCGAAATAGCTGTATACTTGGGAGTTGCGGATAAAGATGTTTAAGTGAATATGATCTTCGCATTGAGCAATTATCATGTAAGGAAAGAAATATATGCAATGGATCTACAATTGACTTACCTCGCCCAAAAGCTTTCAAAAAGGATGGTTGTAAGGAGACGGCAATTTTTGCATCATTCAGTGCTTCAGTGTAATTCCCTTCGAAAGATTTAATGCATAGGAAACATTTGTAACAAACAAAGACAGAGGCTAGAAGCAGCCGATAAGCCTAGTATCGTGCTTGACAGATCAGCAGCATGAACTAAGTACAATCCTGGTCAAAACGTCTGAAGGGGAGGGATAAGAGAAGCGTCCCTTTTGGCTAGAAATGGATATTTGTGCGTGAATATAAGACAGCCCTTTTATTGCCAGTATCAACAATGAATTTGTTGCTCTGCTTAGATACGCACGTGTCAACGCTCAACGGTCATGACTGCACGAAAGCCTTATTTTCACTCGGTTATTCAATCCCTGTTAAGGTCGTTGGTATGCAAAAGTGATTTTAAAAAAGGCTCTTTTCCTCAAACTCACTTAGTCCAAGTTTATTGATCGCCGATTACGGCAGTTTCACGGTTTGAGTGATTTGTTTCTAGATCTACTCGATTTTTTCGACGAACTGACACTTGTTGCCGCAGCTTGAGCTGCCAGATCTTACCACAAATTCGATGTTTTTCTCTTTTGAGATCACTCGTTTTGTCGATTTCCTTAGCTATTCCATCGCCTTGTACTTTAAGCAAGACACACATGTGAACTCTTGTAGTGAGCTCGCCAAGTATGCTAAGTCTCTAGTTAAGGACATCGCCAATAACTTCAACTTTCCAGTCTTTGATGCGTTGCAGTCTTGAAGAATGTCATCGACAGATTTCAGGGTATGTTGGGTGGGCCGCGCGCTTTCCTCGTAATCTTGAAAAATATTCTATTCTTATCCGCTCTTTGCATCCAGCTCGAACAGAGCATGCACGTAGATTATATCTTTCTCGTTCCAAAACAAGATTATGTACATTTAGCCCGCGCTTTGAACTGAAACTAAAAGGCTTATCAATCTAAGAAATAGATAGCACGAGTTTTATTGATCTCAGGTTCTCGTGACAACTCTTTGTTTCCAAAAAAGATCTAAATGAATGGCAAACTAGCAAGACAACTGACTTATGTGAATTTAGGGACTTTGCAATCAAATATTTTATTACTGAAAATTCGTCCCGCACTAAGCTGGGATCAGGCTCTACTTTCATTTCGCTTTTTAATTGGTAGATAGATTTCCGGAGGGCAAGGCGAATCGAAAAGTTGCGCATGCTGACGTACCTGAATTACGGACGTATGTTATCATCATTCTATTTGCCTAGGAAATTTACCAATCTCATCCCAGGGTTCCCTCCTACATGTCCCTAGGGAGCGCCCCTGGGAACGAGGTTGGAAATTTAAGCGACTACCACAGGGACATCAGATGGACCTTAAACTCAACACCAGGACCTTTACGGCTCACATATCATTCATATAAGTGGGTACAACAAAAGGCATCCCAAGAATATGGACAAATTTTACAAAAACATCGCTATACGGTTAATAACGTGCCGCTGACCACCCTCTCCGAAAATACAACTGAGGGCGCTTTTGCTCGCCCGATAGTCCTTTAGCAAAACTAAGCTTCACCACTAAAATAATTTCAAGAAGAAATAGTAAAACATTTAAAACAACCAACTGCACCATCTTACCCAAATATAAATGTGCTGCCGCCCTGTTGCTATGTAGTTTTGCATTCAGTTCTTTATCCTTACAGTTCACTTTAATTCCGTCTGTGTAGTAGTCAATGGCGTTGCTGAAACTCCCCTTGTTGTACTCATCATTACCTTCATTTTTGTAAACCTCTGCAATTGCTGTAATTAAGCAACTTATAATTCTTATAGTGATTCTTTTAATTTTTAAAATAAAATTTGTCTAATATTTGCTGTTAGATGTTCTCCTTCAATCTTGAGTATTCTCATCTAAAGATTAACCCTGAATGAATGCTCTAATGTCACTCTACCAGTGGACATTATTGTATTTTATAATCACGTTTTCTGACTTTTGCCTCACCTCTTAAATTTTCATCATCAAACTGGAGTGTCCTATCATTTGATATGACGTCACTTGCCTCTGGACCTCTCTCCATGAATATTGAAGACTGGTGTAAGATTTGACTTTCTTTCCGCTGCTGTTTCCTGAAACAAGAAGTGGACGATTACGACCAGATGTTAACAATATTATGAAGAAAACATATCCATTCGCGCACGTGGGCGGAGCCCCATAGCTAAGAAAATCTATCCATCGTAAAAATTTGGTAATCACGTAACCGTACACCGCCCGAGCAACCGACCGTTCGCCTGCACCCCAGGCATACCAATGTAAAATAACTCATTTAACATGTGTACAGGAATGGCAACCCAAGTGCAACTCGAGGTTATTTTGGCGGGAAATCGCATAGCCACCCGCACCTTCTAAAGCAGAGACAACGAAAGAGCCAATAAAGACGAAAACGGAAAGCGGAAATTGTTTCTGTATCTGTGTTGTCTAAGCTCTTAGATTAATTGTCATGTCCACAAATTTGAAATATATTGAAAGACAAAGACAGAGAAAACGAGAAAGTAGTCGGCAGGCCAGCGAACCTCATCGAGAAAAAGGGCGACAGAGATCTAGAGCGAGAGATAAAAAACAAAAAAGACATTTTTTTGTTGGGAGAACAACATGAAAATTTTGTGGCGGTGGTGAGAAAATGAGAAATGCTAGCGGCCATCAATGCAAGGTGAAAATGAGTGGCACTGAAAAATAAGTGTACGATACGGCAAGTAGGACATTCCCTCCATAAAACGTGTAACTATTAAAAAAAGAAGTTTCTGGAAGTTTCACGTTGTAATCTTGCAAAACAACGGCAAATAAATGTACAAAAAAAGTGTGCTGCAAGTGCAAGGTTGCTTTTTGCTAATTAGACCTATTGTTGTTTTGCACCGTTCTCCTGCGTTGCCTTCGCCGCTTAGCATTACACGATTTCATATTTTGTTTGAGCAAACTATAAATATTATCGATAGCTTCGCTTTTAACCCTGGCTAAATCTATTTATAAACTAAGATGGTACGCGCGTTATTTTATTTATAAAACAACTAAGATAGCGAGATAGGATTTTTGTTGTTTTCTGACTTAGAACAAGAATGAAGAACATCGATAAAATAGTCTTCTTCATCTTTCCTTCATCACTTAACTATATAGAAAGAAGAAGGAGACTATTTTTCCCGAAATTTCGTGAACACAATTAAGGACAACAACAACTCTCCACATGCTAAGTTTCATCGATTTTTATTTCCATTTTCTAGCTAGCAAGTCCCTGAAGTCCCAGACCTGAACTTCGCCCCATCATATGCATGTTCTCTATATTTACTCATGTTTATATGAAACCCGTACGTGACACAAATAGGGAACCTGGGTTACCTTTGGTTGACCTTGTTTTGTTGACCTCCCTTTTCTGAAGTAAATTTTGCTTAAAGAACATGATCACCATAATAAATCAGGAACGGTTGTAACAAGGCAAGGTGAACTCCACCCTCGCTCCACCTGTAACTGAAAAATGGGCTTTTGAACCTACCAGTTACTTTCAGAGTTTCACAAAGTTTGTACAAAACGGTTTGTTTTTCTTTCGGAAAAAAAAATCAAAAAAACTCAGTACTTTTTAAAAGAAAACTATTGTACCTTTATTTTGAATAAAATAGACTTTCAGAATTGTTTCCTTCTTATTTTTAACTTTAAAACTAGGTATTAATAATAAAAGATCATCCAAATCGCAGTTTTGAAGCTGTACACTTATAGCAAGTCGTCTCCGCTTTTGGAAACTAAGCATTTTTGTTCGGTTTCCTCTGCCTGAGGTCTTTGCTTAGAAGTCAAACAAGGTGCACGTTTCGCATCAGAGCTGACAGAAAGTGAATCTTCTACGAAACTAAACTAAAGAAAAACACCGAAGTTTGGCCTTTATTCGGCTAATGACCGCGTCTTGCCGGTCTCATAAAATCACGTCTGGCAGTATCAAGCTTTTGATCTCCTGGAAACTGAAAAGCTTGCTAGCATGAACAAATAAGTAATTGGGGTTTCCCCTCCCTTCTTCGAGAACAAAGCCGGATGTTTATACTAATCAGCACCACTGACACTACAGCACCACTGGCCGACATTCTACGATCCCACGAAATGCAATTTCACTTTTACGCCGATGACACTCAATTGTATATTTCTTTCTCTACAACCAATGATATGGAATTAACCAACAGTATCACTAAGATTGAGCAATGCCTGTCCGACATTGATAAGCGGATGTCCATCAACAGACTAAAACTAAACAAAGACAAGACCGAGCTTCGCTACTTATTCTCAAAGTATAATCCACAACAATCCCTACCCCCTCTTCGCTTTGGAACTGACATAATCAAGCCCTCTCCACATGCAAGAAATATTGGCGCTATCTTCGATACCACTATGTCAATGCTTCCCCATGTCAACAATGTTTGTAAATCTGCCTTTTATCATCTTCGCACCATTTCGCGCATAAGGAAATGCTTATCAACGCAAACTACTGAGATTTTTATTCACGCCTTTGTAACTTGCAAACTCGATCACTGCAATTCCCTACTATATAATGTCCCTAAAAACGTCATCAAAAAGCTTCAATCGGTGCAGAACGCAGCTGCCATACTGATTACGCGGTCTAGGGAGTATCATCACAACACTCCCATCCTCCTCGATCTTCACCGGTTACCTTTTTCTGAACGAGTTAAATTCAAGATTCTACTACTTACTTTCAAAGCTCTGCATCAGCAATCTCCAACCTACATTCAAGACCTTATCACCCGCTACTTACCTTCTACATCGCTTCGGTCATCCTCTACGCTCAGTGTGAATCCTGTTAGCTTCAACCTTAAGGCCTATGGATCTAGAGCACTCTCTGTCTCAGCCCCCGAACTTTGGAACAAACTACCTGACGACATACGCTCATGCGAGAATCTAGGTCTTTTTAAGCATAAACTTAAAACCTACCTTTTTAAGAACTTTTACTTTAGTCATAAGGAAGATGTATTTGATGTTATATGTTTTATTTAAATTTATATTTATGTATTTTAATTAACTTTTAATTCTAATTTTTTCACTTTGTTAAGCTCCTAGATCTATTACTGGATAGGCGCTATATAAATGTTCGTCTTCTTATTATTATTATTATTATTATTAATCTATCACGGAGAATTAGTACCGCAGTTGGCAAATTGAAAAGGGAAAATTCGAAGGTGGGAAATTAAACGAATTAAAAGAGGAACAAAAATCTCTGATCTTCTCTGGCCATTATTATTAAAACTTTTCTAGAAACTCTCTATGCCAAAATGAAAAGAGGGGGATTTACCGATAATACGCGACAAACAACACTCTTCAGAAAAAACGTTGCCAACGTCCTGAAAAGTGGTGCACCACTCAATAAAAAACTGAAAAAAGACAAGCTTCCATTGTTTTTGTACGAGCGTTGTTAATCAGTCTTCGAGGTTCATGGAGATCGTGGATCAGGGATCGGGGATCCAGAATCGGAGATCAGGCATCGACGATCGGTTTTTTGAAAAACTTGAAAGTAAAATAAATAAATCTTGGATCGTGGTGAAGATGTGGGCCGCAGGCTGTAGACAAACTTCACATAACAAAGCCTCGTTCGCTGTACTGAGCACTAAATTTAAGTAAACTACACCGAGTCTGACTGAGTCAGTGATTATTTTGACGAGAAAGTGAAATTTTCCTGGAAAATGAAACGCTTTATCCCAGTGATGGCTATGATCAAGAGATAATGAGCTGCAGCTCATTCTCTCTTGTTATGATAACATGCATGCTGTGCACAGCTCTAAACATTGTACTCTGAGATGGCGTCAACACCAACTGTAAGGAGATATAAACGCAGATGCTAAGCAGCTATGGAAATTATACTGATAAAAACCATCGTTCAATTTTTTGAGTGTAAAATCCCTGAACGAGTTCTCCTCACTGGAGCAATATCTATATGTAAAAGGTTTCCAAAGGTTTCACACTGGTGTGAAGCTAGGATGTGCGACCTGTCTCTCCTTGCAATTTTTACGTTTTGAGTACATTCTGACATAATTACACGATTGGTATTCCAAAAGAAAAAGTAGCATAACAGCAACAGCAAACAACAAAACTTATCTTCAAGCAAGCGAGACTCAACGCTATTAAGAGCGTTCTTGTTTCCATAATTTTCAGGAAGCCTTCGGCCAGATTCTTTTCAGTCAAATGACTCCAACTATTTTTATGTCAGGACGAGGGATCCATTTTTTAGTTTCCTGTTATGTTTCCTATTTCTCGCTGGAAATTTTAAACACTATTTTTGGACAAAGAGCGATTTTTTGATAAAATAAAAATCATGTTTTAAAAAGTGTTTTGAATTGACCTTTTCACAGTCTATGACGCCATCTTGGCTGGGAGGCAAACATGGCTAAAATTATAGTGAATGTCTGGAATTTTGGCCCACTTGGAGCCACTATAACACCGCTACAATGAGGCGGATTTCCACAGCGAAAATGTCTTTTAAAAGTCATTATTTGTACTGAGATTATTTTCATGAAGTATAAAGAAGAGATTCAGGTTATAACGACCGTAAACGAATTTTTAAGATTTCATAATCAACATTATGCAAGTTACCATGAAAATAGAAACCACAAGAGAAGATTTATAATTCGAATTTACGCGGGACGTCGTACTTTCTTTAATAGACTTATTTCTATTGAATGAATGATATCTATAAAACTATTTAAAGTAGTGGCAAATGTTGGAAATCCGCCTCTTTGTAGCGGCGTTATAGCGTTTCCGAGTGGGCCAAAATCCCATACGTTAACTGTAATTTTAGCCGTGTTTGCCCCCCAGCCAAGATGGCGTCATCAGCGTCATAAACCGTGAGAAGATCAATTGGTGTTGGATTGTCACGATCAATAATTACTGACATTCGCTTTAAGGGTTGATTAAGTTTCAGTCATGAAGGTTTTATCTCCTTTTCTGCTCAATGAACCCCATTACTACCTCATGAAGTAACAGGACTAGATGGATCTTACCTTAGCAAGACGTCACAAGTTGATTTCCCTAATGATGAACAATATGCTAGAAGTGAAGGCCCTGAGTGTAGCATTTAAAACCAGTTGAGTAAGGGAATTCGAAATCCTTTTCATTTAACAGATTTTGCTTTCAGCTGATGAACGACGAATATAAAAATAGAAACAAGAGGCTTAGCAGAATATACTTATCATAAGTAATTAGGGCTTTTTCCCTTTTTCCAACAACAATGCTTACTTTTTCGCGTTAGGCAGCTAAAACCAAGATTTAAACCATAACTTGAAACTCACACCAGGGGTAGGCCTAGATACAAATATCCGGATATTTTTTAAACCTGAGATATTTAGAGGATTTTGAGATATTTAGAAAATCTCATGATATTTAGGAAAAAATTGCGATATTTAGAATTTTGGTACGAAAAAAGTACTGACATCATGTTTTTTTTTTTTTCTAGGAAGTTACTTCAATGCTAATTAGGGCATGGGCATTTTAGTGACAGAAATTCAAACAAATCTCCACATATGGGCCTGCTGTAATCAGATTCAGCAATATTCTCCATCAAGAGCCATAATAGGTCCTATTATGGCTCTTGTCTCCATTTATAATATATGCAATTTGGCTAATGTTCAACAAAATGGCTGATGACGTACCCTCTGATATTTAGAAAAAAATCGGGAATTTCCGGAATATATTTAGGCGATTTTTCGTGATATTTTTACCTAGGCCTAACCAAGGGCCTTCAAAGATGGTTTCCACCTAAATACATTGAAAATACTTTTTAGGCTGTCCTGAGTAATTTTAGATCTCTAGATATGCATTCTAAACGGCGCTATAAAATTTGTATCTGTTCGGTCATCCTAGGAGAACTTGAGTCTTTTCGAAATTACAAGGGCTTCAGTATTATTTTTCCGAAAATTTTAGTTGCAATGTAACGTACTACGAAAGTGACAAATTTTCTGATTCCTCTCTCCATCACATTTTTTAATCAGAAGAATTCAGTTTTCCTTTTTTCTACGCTATACGAAAAATAGCCTAACCTTGAGAGTGGAATGTGTAAATTAACTTAAGAAAATCTTGGGGAATTTATTAGATAAGTTCGAAAATTGTACATGGATGGAACAGTCATCTAGACATTTTTAGTCGTTCACAAATAATAGAAATTCTGGGCAATATTTGCTTCATGGGGGCTGGCAGCGAGGTCTGGAACCGAGTTTACATGATCGCCCCAGTTAAGAAATTTGGCTGAGTGAGACTGAGTACCAATTTTCCTCCAAAACAAATATGGCGGAGAATGCAGACATGGAGGGAAGATGAGTTTTTACCGGGTGTTAAGTTTTCCCGCGTCCAGACATCAAGAAAATTTATCGTGAATCGGCATCTGGGCAAGTTCAGTTATTTAGCTTCGTGAATTTTCGAGCAACCAGCCAGCTCCATGTCTTATACTTTTCCACTTACTGTGATATTAATACTCTCTTCCTTATCCTAAACATTTGCTACGAGCACACTATATTAGTATGAGTCTTGCAACAGTCATATGTGAATGTTCATTAAACCAATTTTCTACTTCGCTGTTCGTAAGTTTCTTTGTACAGTGGGAACCACAACAAATATTTATAGGAGTAAATACAGAATACAAGGCCAATTTAGTAAAAGCCAGGGTAAATGTTCCAATCGCTTTGCTTCACATATACTGGGTCTGTCAGTATAAGCTATTTTAAACATAAGAAGGCTGGGAGGGGTTTACTGAACCTTCAAAACCTTCACCGGAATATCGTTGGAGTGATAATCAATAAATTTCCAACAGCAATACCGTATTTTAGTAGGTTTATATTAGATAGTGACTTCGGTTTCAAGTATTTCCTTAAAATTGTTTGTACAAAAATAATAAATAATAGGTCTGAATTATACTGGAAATGATGATACTGGTTTAGTGTGGGGACAAAAGGCTAATCCAGTTGCTAATAAGACTGTGAGTACATCAGAGAGGGGTATGCATTGAGAAAATCCCTAAAAGGACTGAGGTACAAAAAAACAGAAAAAAGAAAATTGAATGTTTTGCAAAGTTTATAAAGAGAATCAGAAGGAGCTTGAAAAATGTACAACTTCAATTGTTTGTGTAAGTTATGAATCTGATTTACAACTAAAATAAACAAGGTAAATTAAAATTGATTTTTTATCAACCTCCCCTCAAGCAGTTCTTTCTACGATATTACCCTTGGCTTATTTTGCCCAGATGGGTATGTGCTGCTGATTTAGAGTGGTGACCATTTCACCCTTTAGACGTTTGAACAGGGTGGCTGTTTGGGCTGTGAAGGTTGATGAAGAGCAGTCTATAGTTACATTTCTGGTACCACCATTTTTTTTCCCAAGTTTTTTCAATGTTTCTAAGTTTAAAAGGTAACTTAATTCTATATGCTAAATCAAATGAATCAGGATTATAAAGTAAGGTCTCTTAGGTTAAAAAGGGTAGGGAAATGAACAATGTGTCCTAGTACCCGTACAGTGCAAGCCCAGGGAAGTGATCTCACATTTTAAGACCCTTTAACCACTAGTTGTAACAGCAAAGTAAGTGAAGGTTTATGGTCTCTGATAAATGTTTTTGCCTGCCTCAACACAAGTTTTTAACTGTTTGCTGACTAAACTTAATAATATTATCTTAATACTCATTTTACTTTTTCTTTTTTCAAGGCACCCTATGGAGTTTTTCAAATCCAATCAATCATCCAACGCAACTCTACCAGGATAAGTTCACAATCAAGGATAAAGAATTAAGAATCTCAATCATCAATTCTTGTCGTCTTAAAAGTGTAGTAAAACCGTAAACAACTCTGACAACTCTTCTACTCAACCACAGCCACCACACTTTTTTAATATCACGAAAAATTAATTTTGGGCCTTTCACTTGAAAATATAAACTGTTCTTCATACGTATTGGAGGGCTGGCCCTTCTAATTAGCCTTGTGGGTTTTCTAAAACAGAACCACAGCTTAAAAGCCTGCATCTAGAGAGGTGAAGCGAGTCAAAAGGTCGGGCATCGAGGAACAACAAGAGACATTGATCTCTAGGGAACAATGACTGTTCACTGGTCTCGTTCTTAGCGTAGTCAACCGTATGTAATGAGAAACGCAAGACCTGAAGAAAGGAAAACGTAAGCTCCACATCACCGCGAATAAAATAGGTTACAGCAAAGAAGCAATGACCAACAGGACCAAAAGCGAATTCCCTACTTCACACTGTCGAATCGCTGCGAAGACGAATTCTTCTTGTTGTTGTTCCCAGCCCGTTTCGCGCATGCTCGCTGCAATTCTCGAATGATTGACAGATCTCTTAACTGGGGCGATCATGGAATGCCGAAAAGCGGCGAGATCGAGGGCCGTTGCCACCCCCCCCCCCCCCCCCCCCCCCCCCCCCCCCCCCCCCCCCCCCCCCCCCCCCCCCTCCCCCCCCCCGCTCTCCTGCGCTTTTTTATTTTCCTAGTTTTTGTTTTTTTTTATAAAAAAAATAGTTAATATATAATAAAATAATACATTAAAAAAATTAAATGATATAGAATTCCCTACCTCACACTGTTGATATCGTCGCAAGATGAATTCTTCTTTTTGTTTTTCCCAGCCCCTTTCCCGCATTGTCGCTGCTATTTTCGAATGATTGACGCGTCCTTTTACTGGGGCGATCAGTGGAATCCCAAAAGGGGGCAAACCGGGGGGCCTGACCCCCCCCCCCCCCCCCGCCCCCTACTTCCTACATTCGTACACGCATCACATCTGCGAAGATGCCAGGTTCAGTTTTTGGACACTTTTCGGATTACAGAGTATTTGATTTGTAAAATAAAATATAGTTTTAAAAAATGTGCAAAAGTATGTTCGTAAAGTGTTAAGGTGTTTTCAAGAATAGAGTTACCAATGCTTTCAGGAAATACATTCGCGTCCGGCGAATTCTATTGTGACGTCATCGCCAAGAGCACAAATGGTGCCTAGTATTTGACTGCACCGAACTCCTCAGATTCTCTCATGTAGTTCATTGCTTGGTTTAAAGCTTCACTTGCACTTTCTCCTTTCAAAAGATGCTGATACAAAATTTTCATAAACTCAATAGCCCACAACGACACCAGAACAGAACGAGCACCAGCACCCAAAAATGCTCGTGCTATGCCAACTACACCTTCTGCTTTGATCTCTCCATGAGCAATATGACAGCAACTGAGTACAACCAGTCTTGCACGAATCTGAACACCCTTTACATCTTTCATTGTCACCATTATCTGGCGCCAAGGCAATTTCGCCTGTTTCCATGCAGCCATGTGCCGCGATGTGTACTAGAGCAACCGAGCTAAGTCGTCTTAATACCTCCACTTTTGTTGCCTGTCTTCCAACTAGAGGTGCACAGCCAAGCAATCTACCAATCATCTCTACTTCCTCTCTGGCATATGGCAAAATTGGTAGCTTTGTCACATCTTGGACCCATGGGTCACCCACAAGATGCACGCCAGGCCTACAGTGGTAATCTACCGGGCAATCATCAATCATTTTTAAGCTCGTTAGAGATGGAGCCATGCGAATTCTGAAAGATTCACAGAGGTATTTGGAGTTTGGAGCCTTAAATACAGCGAAAGGTGTCAAGCAAAGTGGACCTTCGGGGACGAATATAAGTTCACTTTCGACGAGAAGGTCTTGAATAGGATCGAAGATGATGTCATAAAATGTATCCAAAACCGTCTTTGGAAAGTGGAAGTGCGGCTTTTGTTCGCCACCAGAAGTTGATCTTTTAACTGCCTGTCTTTTATCGTTAGCCAGTATAAGCGAGCGATCTTCCCACTCCATATAATCTCTTACACCAATTTCCTTTCCAAGAGACATTGAAAGAAAGTGCTAGTAGCATGCTGGGAATTGATTTGCTTTCTTCTTAATAATTCAACCTCCTTTCCTCTCTGAACAACCCCCCCCCCAAAAAAAAAAAAAAAATTCGTACTTCCCTATTCCCATAAATGTATTTTTCGGAGAATATATTTCATCAGCTCATGAAAATTTGTGTTTTCTTTTTTTCATTTATACTCTTTTACCACAAAACTATACTTAAATTAATAAAATACTTTAA